CCCCCCCCCAGGGCGCCTTGGGGACGTGGTCCCCATCAGAGCATCCTGGAGGGATGCTCCCCATCGGGCATCCCGGGGCCAGGGCACCCTGGGGACCCATCAGGGTGATCCTGCTCAGCTCTGGGGTGCTGGTGCAGCTGGGCTCTGCGTCCCACCTCCCGGTCCCCAGCCCATGGACACAGGGGTCTGGGAATAGGAGTCCCCATGGATGATGCTGAGCACCAACTGCTGAGAGGGGACACTAGGGGGGGGTCACTGGTCCCTGAGGGGTCACTGGTCCCTGAGCAGCAGCTTTGCAGGGCTGACCCAATGGGTCAAGCGCAGACAGCACCTTCTGCCCCTCAGGAGGGACAGGGAGAGGTTTCGGGTCCTTCATCCCAAACCCAGACTGTGTGCAGGGCTGGGGTTCCCGTGATGGTTGGGTTATGCCACGGTACAGCCTTTGCCACAGCTCCCTGCCCTGTGCCTGGCCAGCCTTGCTCTTCTACCCCAGGCCAGGGTCCCCCATCATCACCGACACAGCTCACCACAAACCCTGCACATTTGGGTGCCCGCTGCGGTGCTGGGACCTACCTGGCCCCTGAGCTGGGAAAGAGCTTTTCCATCCCCCTCCAACCTGCCCTGCTCAGCACCCCCCTACTCTGAGCATGGGCTGGCATGAGCCTGGCCCCCCCGTGCCCTGTCCAGGTGGCCCCGCACTCCCTGGCTGGCACCCCCAGCTCCCCCACAACCACACTTGTGCAGAGGCAGCGGCGAAGCAGGAGAGCTGAATAAATCATGCTGTGCTGAATTATGGAGGAGCTGGCTAGCACGTAGCACAAGCCTCGCAGGCAGGAGGGCAGCGGGGCTGTGCCAAGGACCCCACGCCACGGCACCACGGCGCACTGAGCGTGATGCCGGTAATGCCAACACACGCACTGCCTGCCCCCATCCCTGCCCCGGTGCCGTTCCTGTCAGCACCAAACTAATCGATGAATCAACGAGGCTGGGGCTGGAGCTGCCCCTCATCATCACACGATGCATTTATTTGCCTGCTGGACTCCCACCCGCTGGAATCCTGACTCCAAACCACATCCCGCCATAACGACTGGGACCCTCCTGGAGTTGGGGCTGGAGCCTGGGACCCTCCTGGAGCTGGGGCCGGAGCCTGGGACCCTCAGCCCCAGCCTCTCCCTCCTCCTTGCACCGGTGTTTCTCCCTGGGGATGGTAGAGTGCGAGGGCAGGGATGCAGCCAGCTCACCTGGGCACCCGCCCCCGGGGACCCCAAGGACACAAGCATGTGTCTTGGCATGGACAGGCAGGAGCTGCTTCTTCCTAATCCCCTGCCCAGGGATTTGCTCCCTCCGGCCAGGTCCCTTGCATCTCTGCGCAAGCAGATTACAGGGGGCTATTTCTGATGGCAGCTTAAAGGTTTGGGTAAAGGGATGAGGCAGCCCGGCCCCCCTCCACACCGGCACATGCAAACAGCACCGGCAGCACAGAGAAACGTGACCCAGGGGGCTCCCGGGGCCGAGCACGGCTGTCCCCAGGGAGAGGGGATGGGGGTGCCCAGGGTCCCGCTGAGCAGGGTGCTCCCTGCCCCATGGCACGCAAAGGGGGTTGGGGCTGAAGCCCTTGGGCTGTTGCTGTAGGGTACAGGGGTGCTGGTGGTCGGGGGGGGTGCACCCCACTGCCTGCAGCACGGGGAGCAGCCAGATGGGGAAAGCTGCAAGCACGGGCAGGGCACGATGGGGGGGGTTTGTCCCCAGCCCAGCCCATCGCAGGCAGGGGGGTGGGGGCTGGGCCAGCAGCGGAGCCAGGCCCTCAGCCCCATCTGTCTCCCGCTGCCCCACATCCATCCCCCAGCCCCTCACTCTAATCCTGCCCCCGCCACACGTGGATCAGAGGCAGAAGCAAAGCAGAGATAATCCATCTGTGCCCCCCACTGAATCCCAACCCCACACCAGGAACGGGCCTCACCGCACTGCCTTGGGGCATCGTCCCTGCCTGGCCACGGGGGCTGGG